AGATTTGATGTTAACACTTGTCAATTCTTTCGGTTTGACCTTGTGTGGTTTATATTAATAGATTTTAGTTAGTTTTTTTTTTTTTTTTTTTTTTTTTTTTTTTTTTTTTTTTTTTCTCAAAGATATCGGCAGCAATTATTTGAAGGTGCGCAGTAAATTTTAGTAAAGAAGAAATTTGTGGTCGCTACTTGAAGAGTTGAAGGTGCGTTCTGAATGAAGAGTGTCGATTGTCCATAGTTTATTAACTCAAACTTAAAAAGTCAATATCAAACAAATAAGAATTTTTCCACTTAAAATTTTATGATTATTATAAGTTAATTATTCCACCAATTCAAATGGAATTGTCAAAGTTAAAAAAATGATCAAATACACTCTCGAACTTTATAGGATAAGTCAATTAGGCCTTAAAACTTTTAAAAGTTACAACTAAGTACAAAAAACATGTCAATTTAGTGAATCAAGACCCAAAAATCAATTAGTAACGTCACTTGAATTTCGGCGATGTTTCAGTTACTTCCAGGTGAACTAGTAGGTCGCTGGAGAAGGCATCGTAGTTGGTCGCCTTCTCCGACGACGACTATCTCCATCGAGTAGTTACCTTCTCCAGATGACGGAGAAGACAATCAGTTGGTTGCCATCTCCAATCGCTGGAGAATGTGACCAGTTTGGTTGCCATCCTTAGTCGACGGAGAATGCGATCAAATTGGTCACCATCTCTAACGATTGGATATGACGATTGGTTCGGTCGTTGGAGATGGGGCGACAAATTTGGTTGCCTTCTTCGCCGATTGAAAGTGGCGACCAACCGTGACACCTTTTTTGACGACCTATTGGTCGCTCGTCGTTAGTTTTTACTTGAAAGCAATTGGAACATCGCTATAATCTTAGTGAGTAGTGACATATTATTACATGTCACGATTTTAAACTTTGATATAATAAATTCACATGTTTATGTCTCAATTGTAACTTTTAAAAGAAATACCTAATTGGCTCGTGAGGTGTTTTGACCTTTTTCTACCAATTTTATTTTTCTTCTTAATATAATACTTAATATGGAGTTGGGGTTTAATATGACGCCACGCGTCCTCTCACTCCAAGTCCCAGACAGGCAGACACACTCACTGACTCACCTAAACACAGCCTCCAGAGGATCAGAGCGTCTTAAACTGCACCGCCTATTCTCCGATTCGCAGCGGATATGCGACGAGGCTTCAGTGCGCACATAACCATACTTCCAAATCGACTGCCCTGAACAACAAATATACGATCCACGATGACGTCGCGCTTCATCCATTCTTATGCCGCTAAATTTTCTCCCTCCAGATTCTCGTAAGTTTTTAATTAATTCTCGCAATGCCATTAACACTTGCCAAGTTTCCGGAAATTTACACGTTTCTTAGTTTCTCAGTAGTACTGTTTTTGCTTCTGGAGAAATTAGGGATTCAGGACTCCATTTTGGCTTGCAGAAAATGTTGGAGTTCGTAGGATTTTCTCGAACTATTTAGGATTTATTTAATCGGCGGTTATGTGTATGTGTATGTATATGTGTATCCCACCATGGATGCCTCAACTTCAGCTCTCAGTGAATGCACATGTTACTAAATGCTATAATTTCATAATCCTGACACCTTCATTTCTGAAAAAAAAACTCCTCAACTATGTCATAATCAAAATTTTCTTGGGGTTGACTACATGAATTTTGTTTCTCTATTTGATAATAGAAGCTAACATATTTGATGTGTGTACAATTGCACAACTCCAGTTTTCTTGAGTGTTAGCCTGCTCAAATTCCTGTCCTTTTATTTGGCTTTAGTTCTACTCATTTGATCCTGTTTTGCCAGACGGCAATTTGTAGAGTGGTTGGAGTGGTAACCACTTTTCAAAATGGAGCCTAAGCAACATTTGCCGATGTGGATGGGGGGTTTCCATGTAACATCCAGCATTGCTTCCTTGTGTTTCTATATTTAGTGAACTAGTCACATTATCATGCATGTCCCTATCCTCCACGGTTTTTGATATGACCATTACCATGACCTCCTCGGGAGTGAGACACAAGGCAGACTGATAAGTACTAATAGATATAGATGCCTCACTGGATATGGAGGAGACCTGAAAGAGTCTTTTCTATACTTTAGTGGTACATGGTACTGAATCACTTCCAAGGATTTGATTTTGAGGGTGTTTAAGCTCTGGTCTTAATTTTGATGAAAAAGCACCGCAAAGAATATCTCATGCCAAATTGCCTGTACTTTGGGTGTTCCATCAATTGGCAACAATGATTAGACTTTGGGCTTTCCCAAGGAAGGTTTTCATACTCATCTTAATTTCTTCAAATCGACCAACTCCTCAGCGATTACATAGAAATGAGAAATGTCATCATTAATCTCCCTTAACTTCACCGTAACATAATTGTTTGTGTGCATCACACGGGTAAAATACTAGTATATACTATATAAGGACTCAGCTTGGTTGAAGACACAGATGCATGTTTGGAACGGTCTGAAAATAGGCACTGACTCCAGACAAAGAGCCGACCATAAAATGCTACATGGCTAAGCATAAACTCTCTCCCAAATAGGCAAATAGCCATTTCATTTATCAGTATGTGCATATCATAATCAGCTTCCTTATTCAAGTTTTAACAACTCATTTGGCCCATAAACCACAACTCCACTACTGTGGACAAAGATTAATAATTTTGCAGTCCACTTAGTTTCTGGGAGGTAATGACAGGAGGAGAGGAAGCGGTGTGTGACGACTGCTCCAGTGACCAGGGAACCTGGGTTAGCTTTGCATAATGTTTGCTCCCGGTACCTTCAGTTTTGGACAAACAATCAACACAGGAGATTAATTGAAGAATAACTGTAGGTTTAAAGAGATGGACAGTGTCTGGCACTGTTCATGTACTTTTATTCAGGGAAAAACCAAACCACAACAAAGTGGCTCTAATTCCATGTTGATTAGGAAGAAAAAAGATATCCAAGTTTATGTTATGAACAAATGAGTACATGTATAAATCCCATAGGCTACACAATTTAAGTAGATGTGAACACCTTTAAAGGATGTTTGGATGGTGTCTAACCCTTAGTTTACCTCAATAGATCAACAGATATGAATTAAATGAATATAAGATAAAGGTGAATGTGGCCCATTTTCAGTTCCTTGACCCTTTGAGTTATTTTTCAATTTCTTGATTTATATGCATTAATAAAATTTATTCTTTCATGATTGTTTTGGGCAGCTTGTCTACCAGGTTCTCCAGTGTTCATGGTGAGAGGCCAACAGCTGAGTATGCAAAGATGAGGAAAGAGTCTTTAGAAAGTCAATTTGGACATGCACTTGCTTACAAATCAAAAAGTCTTTCATTATTATACCATTTTGGCCCTTTCATGGCTCTGTACAGAGCAGCAATTATCTCAGTCCATGTGTTTAAGATGTCCATATGGCAATTTTTTGTGCACGACATAAAAACACGAGCTATTAAGGTATATGATATTATCCCATTGCTCTCTCTATTTTTTCTGCGTCTTGCATTTATCCCTCTTTCATTCATATATATGACGTGCAACCCCATATATAAATTGGAAAGTAGAAACTCATTATTCTATCTAGTGCTTAAGAATTAGGATGGTGAAATTCCAAAATTTTGAATACCCAAGCACGGAAGTCTGTAGATCAAGGTTGCTTGTATGCAATCTTATATAAAGAAGGGCAAAAGGATGTTGGAATATTAAAAGTCTTGGGCAGCTCACTGGCCTTAGTAATTATATGGGCAGCTCACAAGCCTTAGTAATTAAAGCCTTGGGGAGATGAGTAGTTTCTTTATTTATTATTGTTTACTCTTGTAGACCTATATATAGACTTGTAACTTGAAGTTAGATGAAATACAAGAACCCTTTCTAGCTTTTAACATGGTATCAGAGCCTCCTTTTTGGGGCCTGAAATTTCTCTCAAACACCTACACCCGATGAACAGTCTCCCTTTTCCGACAGAATTTTCCAAATCAGTTCGTCCCTTGTCTGCGATTATATGGTGATTTTCTCATATTTTTCTGAAAGCTATGGCAAAACATGAAGGTTTAAACAGCATGCTGAAAGTTGCCAGGACCAACTTGTCTCATACTGCTCTTGCATTAAAATCTGATTCATCTTGGATTCTTGATTCTGGAGCCACTGATCACATTTCTGGTAATCTCTCATTTTTCTCTAATATTCAGTTCTCAGATTCTCTTCCCGATGTCACATTTGGTGATGGATCAAAAGGAAAAGCTATAGGAATTGGAAAAGTCACCATTCATTCTTTGTCTTTATCCAATGTCCTTTACATTCCTGGTTGCCATTTCAATTTGATTTCAGTTAATCAACTTACTCACTCACTTAATTGCCTTGTCACCTTTTCTTCTGATTCGGTGGTTATTTAGAACCGTCAAACAAAAGGGACAATTGGTGTAGGATATGAATCACGAGGTCTATACCATCTTTCATGTTCCGCCAATACCAAAACAACTTGCTCGGCTTCTATTTCACCCCTTCTTAACCATTGTCGTTTAGGACATCCTGACCTCAATAAATTAAAACAACTGGTTCCTGGATTGTTGAATTTAAAAACCATAGAGTGTGAATCATGTCAGCTTGGGAAGCACTCAAGAGCTTCATATCCTAGTAGAGTGAATAAGAGGGCCAATACCCCATTTTCTTTAGTTCACTCTGATGTTTGGGGACCGTGTCGAGTTTCATCCACTTTGGGTTTCTCATATTTTGTTGTCTTCATTGATGATTTCTCTCGATGCACTTGGGTTTTCTAATGAAGAACCGTTTTGAATTATTTGATGTGTTTCAAAAATTCTACAATGAAATTGTGAATCAATTTGGGGCATCTCTCAAAATCTTACGCAGTGATAATGCAAGAGAATATTTTTCTGACCCTTTCACTTCTTTCTTTTCCTCAAATGGAATACTTCATGAATCATCATGTGCTAGAACTCCTCAATAGAATGGAGTTGCTGAACGAAAAATTCGTCATCTTGTTGAAACAGCTCGTACTTTGCTTATTCATAACAAGGTACCTAAGAATTTTTGGGGGCATGCTATACTTCACTCTTGCTATCTCATAAATCGGATGCCTTCCTCTGTTTTGCAAGGAAAAATTCCTCTTCATATCTTACGTCCACAGGAACCTCTCCATAAGCTTCCATTGCGAATCTTTGGATGTACTTGCTTTGTTCATAATACTTCTCCAGGGCGTGATAAACTTGATGCCAAGGCAATAAAATGTGTTTTCCTTGGGTATTCTCGCCTCCAAAAAGGCTTTAAGTGTTACTGTCCTAGAACACACCGGTTTTATACCTCTTCCGATGTTACCTTTTTTGAAACAACACCTTTTTTCTCGTCCACCTCCGTTGAGTCTAATTTCCTAGGGGAACCCATTGGAATCACAGAAATTCTCCCTGTTCCTACTTTCTCAGAACCTATATCTCCCACTGTTCCTGAAAGGACCATACCTATTCCTGAAAGAACTATTCCAACTCCAACCATTCAAGAGGAAGGACATATTCCACCGTTGTTGTACACCTACCAACGACAGAATTGTCAAGATTCCCAAGAGGATAGACATCCAGTTGAGTCATGTTCTACATCATTGTTACCCAATGATGCTGCCCAAAACACCACGACAGACTCTCCCATTGCCAGTCGGGTAGGTAAAAGATCCACTCAAAATCCTTACCCTATCTATAATTTCCTTTCACAAAAACGTCTGTCTCCATCATATTGTGCCTTCATTGCTAGTTTGTCAACTGCTTTTGTTCCAAACAATGTCAAAGAGGCATTAACTAATCCAGGGTGGACTCAAGCAATGGTTGATGAAATGAAAGCACTACATTCTTCCGGGACTTGGGAGTTAGTACCTTTCCCTCCTGGTAAAACTGTGGTTGGTTGTAGATGGGTGTATAATGTGAAGGTTGGTCCAGATGGACAAGTTGATAGACTCAAAGCTCGACTTGTGGCTAAAGGATACACACAGGTTTTTGGCATTGACTACACGGATACCTTCTCACCGGTGGCCAAGATCACTTCTATCCGCCTATTACTCTCAATGGCAGCCAACCATCACTGACCACTGTATCAGTTGGATATAAAGAATGCCTTCTTACATGGAGATCTGAATGAGGAAGTGTATATGGAGTAGCCACCTGGATTTGTGGCTAAGACAGGAGCTAATCTTGTTTGTCGTCTTAAGCGCTCTTTCTATGGGTTGAAGCAATCTCCACGTGCCTGGTTTGGGAGATTTAGAGATGTGATCCAACAATTTGGCATGATTCAAAGCAAGGCTGACCATTCTGTTTTCTATAAACATCTACTTGGAAAAAGTATATATCTTGTGGTTTATGTTGATGATATTGTCATTACAGGGAATGATAGTGAAGGAATAAATCAGCTTAAGAAACATTTGTTTCAACATTTCGAGACAAAGGATCTTGGAAAATTGAAGTATTTTCTTGGTATTGAAGTTGCTCAATCCAAACAAGGTATCTATGTGTCTCAACGAAAATATGTTTTGGATATTCTTGAAGAAACAGGAATGACAAATTGCAAACCAGTTGACACACCCATGGATCCAAATGTCAAACTTCTTCCAAGACAGGGGGAGCTCCTATCCAATCCAAGTAAGTATCGGAGATTAGTTGGCAAGCTATTGTACTTGACTATCACTCGACCAGACATCTCCTTTGCTGTAAGTGTAGTTAGCCAATTTTTGCAAGAGCCATGTCAAAGTCATTGGGATGCAACCGTCAGAATATTGAGATATGTGAAAAGGTCTCCAGGTACAGGGTTGCTCTATAAAGATCATGGACATACAGAAATTGTTGGCTATACAGATGTAGATTGGGCTGGATGTCCTTGGGATAGGAGATCAACATCAGGATATTGTATTATATTTGGAGGTAATCTTGTCTCTTGGAAAAATAAGAAACAAGATGTGGTTGCACGCTCAAGCGCAGAAGCTGAATACTGAGCAATGACACTTGGAATATGTGAGCTAATTTGGGTTAAACAACTTCTTACAGAACTCAATTTCTATAAGCATGGTCCTATGAAATTAATTTGTGATAATCAAGCAGCGCTCCACATTGCGTCTAATCCTGTCTACCATGAAAGGACTAAACATATTGAGGTTGATTGCCACTTTATACGAGAGAAGGTCGCATCCGGAGACATTGTTACCACATTTGTTGGGTCAAATGATCAACTTGCTGATGTTCTCACCAAATCTCTCCGTGGACCTAGGATTGAATACATTTGTAGCAAGCTGGGAGCTTTTGATTTATACCCTCCAGCTTGAGGGGGAGTGTTGGAATATTAAAAGTCTTGGGCAGCTCACAAGCCTTAGTAATTAAATGGGCAGCTCACAAGCCTTAGTAATTAAAGCCTTGGGGAGATGAGTAGTTTCTTTATTTATTATTGTTTACTCTTGCAGACCTATATATAGACTTGTAACTTGAAGTTAGATGAAATACAAGAACTCTTTCTAGCTTTTAACAAAGGAAAAAACTATAAAGAAGAAGAGAATAAAGACAGTGGTATATTTATATCCAAGGTCATGGATTTTTGAAAGAGCCATTACTTGCGTGGTATTCCTGCAACACTTTTAATCCATGATGTTCTTAACTCAAATCCCTGTTTTTCTCACTTAGCAAATGCACAATGTTCTTAAATCAATCCCATACGCCTCACTGTGAACTTTAGCTGCATTTTCTTACTCCAAGGACCAATTCTCTTGATGGATGAGAAGCAAGTAGGTAATAGGGAAATAAGGACAGCTTCAATGTTGTGTTCTCACGTCACGGGCAAGAAAACATAAGGAAAATTGAATAGAGAATAACAGTTGGAAAATAAAGAGAAGAAAACACTGGGTTTGCTTGAGACCCAAAACTCCCTTAGACCCTTTTTGGGATTCAATTTCTGCTTGCATTATTCTCAATAATACTCCCTTTTTATAGGGTAAAATACAACTCATAGAATGGCTAAATAAGTTAAGTAATCTGCTGAAATCTTCTAGTTTATTTCTAAATAATTAAACTACCTAAATTAATTCGAATACTAAGAATAATAAGTTAAGTAACTATTTAGTAATTTCTAAATAACTATTTATTAGTTTCTAAATAACATTTAGTAATTTATTAATATCTAAACTATGTAATATAATAAAAATAAGACTTCCTAAAATCTTGGTCCCAAGCATGTATCATTCAAGCTGTCACATCTCAAAAAAACATGGCTGAAGTAATCAATTTCCTTGAATTAATCATGTTCTTACCTTTCACACAATTTCATCAATTTCCATATGCCTACACCTTAAATGCATATGTTTTTCATTTCTCAAAGTGGCATTGCTCAGATGCTTGTGTTGTATTTGTATAAAGGATGAATTCTAAGTATTGATTGGAAACTTTTTGGTCGATAACAAGTTAATTTTGATTTTTGAAATTGGACAAGACCAGATCCCATGGAACAAATTTTTATCTTGCTTTAGTACAAAGTAATAAAGCAATTGGATCCAAATAAGTATGAAGTGAACCATATTGATTTCATGCACTGGCATTTATTAGTTCTGAAAACTAAGCCATCTTTAGGATATATTCACTTTTTGTTGCTTATTTTAAAGTTTCTTTTTTTTTTTAATCATCTTTGACACTTCAATCCCTATATGGCTATATGTGCAGCTTCTCATGGTCCTTCAACTATGCAAATTGAAATTGCTACCATTAATCTCTCCATTACTGATGCGGTTAAATTTTGATACAATCCATGATGGAGGGCCTAATGGTGGCAAATGTTGTATAATTGAAGGACTAAGTGGTTAACTTTAGTCTTTCTGTTAAGAAATTAATCGCGTTGAATACAAAATGTCATAGATGGTAGCAGGGTTATCAAGGCATCGCCTAGGCGTCTGGGCGGTCACGGCCTTGCGCCTAGTCCGCTCGCCTCGCCTAAGTGCAAAATACAACCCAAAACCCCACAAAACATACATGGGCAGAACCTACACACTAAGGCGAGTTGACCGGTGTAATTTTCAGCCGGAGAAGACGCCGGAATCTGCCTCACACGCCGGCGCGTGGAGGCTCCGATGGCGGCGCGATTCGAGCTCCGGCGTCGTCGTCCTGTTCTGAGCAAAGCCCACTACCTCACCTTGACATGTTATCAATAAATACTAGACTTCTCACTACTCTAGGAAAAACTATTCATCTTCTCAAAGATGACTTGAAGTAAATAGGGTTCAAAAAGGCTTCCCAAGACAAGATATTTTCAGTATACAATAAATACTAAACTTCTCATTATTCTAGGAAAAACTATTCATCTACTAAAGGCAACTTGAAGTAAATAAGTTGCCCAAGACAAGATATTTTCAATATATATGTATATATTTTATATATTTTATTTATTTAATACTCATCGCCTAGGCGGTCGCCTAGTCGACTAGTCGACTAGGCAAGTTGGTGGCATCTCGCCTAGAAAGTCTGCCTTGATAACCTTGGATGGTAGTATAGGGACTAAACTCACTTACTAAGTAAATCTTTTGTTTTTATTTATTTATTATTTATTTTTATTAATCTATTTTTATTTTTAAAATATAGAGGTATAACTTTGCTTCGCCAATGTAGTAATTCTGACATTTATGGTTGCAGTTTCGTCAAACACTTATCCGTCTGGGGCCTTTCTATGTCAAGGTAAAGCTTTTACTTGTTCTATATTATGGACTTTGTTATTGTGTATGTTCTATAAAGTTTCTTATATTTTGAAATACATTTTTTCTTTTTAATTTGATAGGGGTAAAATGAATTGCTTTTGAAAACAGAAAAGTGAGGATTGAGGAAGCAAGGCCATCTATTATAGTTTTATATTAAAAAATAGCAAGAAAGGGTCCAAATTAACTGAGTGGAGTCCCCACTAATATCTTCATGGATCTTTTCAGTTCTCAACTTCTTTGGCCCATGAAAATGTCCAAAATGCCAACTTAGTCCACCACTCTTGAATGGCTCTAGCATTATGATCTAACAAAATAGACTAGAAAGTAGCACACTAGCATGGTCTGCATGCTTTTACACCTCATGTTTTAAACACTCAAGACTACTTTGAACGCTTCTGAGTGACAATTTTGTGTAGGGACAAGAATACAGTGACTGTTGCTTTACTTGCTCAAAAGATGATTATATTGTATAGGAAAATTGGTGTAGGTGATTGTTTGCTATTGGAGAAACTAGCTCAATTATATGGTACTTATTGTTATTATTATTACTAGTATTTTCTATGCGCAATATTAGTACTTTATATTAAAATCTTAGATTTATTTATATTTTAGATATTTAAATTATTGTAAATAATAATAATAATAATACTCCGTAATAATAATAATGTAAAACATTTTTATAAATTTGATATTCATATTTTAGGAAATAACTAACATATAACTCCAATATATAATGTGCATATATTATTATTATTATTGAAGAAAATTAGAAAATGTATAGTGGATGCATGTGCATAGTAACAATAGTGGAAAAGATAACGGAAGTTATAACGGTAGAGGTATGTTTGTCAAAAATATTGTATAGTACAACTTTTATAGCATAATGTATAAAGAAAACGTAACGGACATAAATGAAGGGTATAACCTTCATTCACACTTATTATGTTTTTAGATTATTATTATTATTATTATTATTATTATTATTATTATTATTATTATTATTATTATTATTATTATTATTATTATTATTATTAAATTGTTCTTTCACTTCTTTGTAAGGCTGAGGGAGGAAGATGAATGAGGTGGCCAATAGGCATATTTGTTATCTTTAGATCAAGAAATTTTAAGAATTTATCTCTCTTTTTTGTAAATTTGCCATTTGAAGGATAAAATATTTTGGTTTTAAAAGTTAAAACATAATTATGAAGACCCTCCCTACCAAAAAAAAATAATTATGAAGACCCTGTTCTACTGGTATTTAAGGGACTATCTAGAAGTAATTCATTTAGCTTATGTTTTCTACCAGCTGAACTCTGCATAGAATTTCATTTGCCATGCCTCTTATATTTTTTTATTGAATCCTTGCTACTAGTCTACTACTGCTTTTCTAACCAGATGATCATGCATTTAGTACTCTGTTTGAATAAATATAAAAATGATTTACTTTCCCATCATGCTATAAAATATCAATATAACATGTTTAGCTGAAGAACCAATGATAGCAATAGAAAGAACTACACAGCTTTATGAAGTTTTTCTTTAATATTTTGTAAAGTCCATGACCCCGACGAACTTTCAAATGTCACTGATTTTCAATCCTAAAATGTTTTACTTCCCCATCATGCTATCAATATAACCGTTTAGCATTGAAAAAGGATGATATCAATAGAAAGAACTATACTATGTAATAAAGTTTTACTTGAATATTTTGTAAAGTTCATGACCCAAACGGACTTTCAAATATGGGGTCAATCCTAAAAACTGCAGTCTGCATAGATATTACTTGAACCACCAGTATAGATGGCTATTTAATCTTTGTTCTGGACTTACACAGGCAGACATTGATAAAATATATTACTTGAACCACCAGTGTAGATGGCTATTTAATCTTTTTTTTTTCCGGACTTACACAGGCAGACATTGATAAAATCTGTATTTTAATATACTCTTTTGTACTTTTCTGCTTTCCAAGGAGCAGAAAACCTAACTCTGGGACCAACATTTCAAGACCCACTTATTTTCTTTAAAACTTGTTATTCTTGATACAACTCATACAAATAATATTTACTCCCTCTTTCCCATAGTTGTTGCCTTACTTTCCTTTTTCGTCCATTCCAAAATAATGCATACTTTCCAATTTGAACAACACTTTTTATTTTTTCCAACTTACCCTTTGTCTTTTTCACTTGGTGGATCCCATTTGATTTGTAAGTGATTTTAACATGTGCAATCCCAAATCAACTTTTATGTGTAAAGTTGGGAAAAAATTAACATCTTATTTGTTTCAATAAAAACTGCGCCAAATACAACTTTTATGGAATAGAGGGATTATTTTTTAGTTTCTAACTATCTATCTTTTATATTCAAAGTTGAGTGAATTTGAGCATGAAAATGGTAAAAGGGATAATTATTTTGGGGTGGAGGGAGTGTATACTGTTATTTTGTAAAAGCTTTTTATAGATGGTTTCTTCTTTCTGGAATCAACAGCTAGGACAAGCTCTGAGCACAAGGCCAGATATACTGCCAACAGTATATTGCCAAGAACTTGCTAAGTTGCAGGTATGCTGGTCTTTATTAGATATGAAATAGTCTAAAGCGGGTTGATATTTCTGATTTCGGCATATTCTTCTTCAGGTTTTGTTTGTCTTTCTGTACTTGAGAATGTCTCTCTATTTGCTAGGATCAAATCCCCCCATTTGCAACACGTGTTGCAATTAAATCAATTGAGACCCAATTAGGTCTCCCCATTACTAAGATTTTTGCTGATATTAGTGGGGAGCCTATTGCAGCAGCATCCCTTGGGCAAGTGTACAAAGGTTAGATAATTTCAGCTTATCTTGAGACTGCTTGGGCACTCTATTTGGCCATCTGTATCATCGCCCATCTACTTTGAGGCCCTACATAATGCATGTATTCTTTCATCCTTCACATTTCTGTGTTCTTTTGATTTTCTATTTCTTTCTATATTGACACTAGATTATTTGCTTTGTCAAATATATGTAATTGTTTCCTTTCCATTCTTGAGAATGGGAGATGAGGATTTGTGGGGGTAGCAGGATAGTATATGATAGTTTTCTTTGTAGACAAAGCCTCTTCAACAAACTAATCTTAAGCTAAATGCTCTGTTTCTTGCTTCAAGTTTTGCAGCTCATTTGCACACTGGAGAGCTTGTAGCTGTTAAAGTTCAGAGGCCTGGTATGTCACATTTGTTGACACTTGATGCCATGTTATTTCACATGATTGGGGGCCAATTAAAAAAATTTGCCAAGGCTCGTAAGGATCTCTTAGTAGCCGTGAATGAGTTGGTGAGAGTCCTAAACTTAATATGGGATTTGATGTTGTTTGGATCTCTTTAATGATATTTAATCATGACCGCACAAAAAATGACAATGGATCTAAGTATCTAACAGAAAAAGGGAAGATGATAATGGAATATGATACATTCTGATTCTAATGCAACCAGCTGAAATATGGTGCATAATTCATGGTGTAAATTTGGAGGGGCACTCTTATTAATCGGACAGTTAATTGAATGTCATATGAATTATATTACTAATTTCTCCGCTCCAATATTTCTTCTAATTTTCATTTTCCTTTTTTTGTTTTTTAAAATAAGTTTGTCATTTCCATTGACCTTAGTTTGCATGTCTTTTTGGAGAAGCTGCTTTTATATTATTCTGTTTTGTGTTTTTATCGAAATAATAAACTTGCAAGTCTCATGACCCGTTCACTTCATGTAAAATAGGTGTGAAACATTTGATGAATTGCTCACTTGGTGTAAATGTTTTTAAAGTGTTTTCCTGGAAAAATTCATTTTTGTGCTTTTAGGTTTAGAACTTTTTACACCCTAAAATTATGTAAACATTTCCAAGAGCAGCCTTGTCAATATGACTCTATAGAACTTCTTCTGACAATACTAACTAATTACTGGAAAACTTACACCAAAAAATCTCTTACTTGTAAAACATTTTCCTTTTCCTTTTTTTTTTTTTTTTTTTTTTTTTTTTTTTTTTTTTTACATGAAGTGAACAGGCATTAAAGAGAAATGAAACAACAGGAAGTGGAGAAGTTCTGTAAATTCTTATTATTGTTGTTGTTTATGGTTGTTCAATTAACGGTTTCCTTGAGTTTGCCAAAACTCCCAAATGATGATGAATATCCTTACAATTTCTGATTATGAAAATGGATTTTAGCAAACAAAGAAGTATGTACTTCTTGCTAATATTAAGTATAATTATGTCTACACTGTTTTATGTTATATGTCTTTAAAAAACCTAGAATATTATAAGTTTCCAAATGAATAAAATTTATTGAGGCAGTCAATAGCTTACTTTTCAGCTGCTTTTATATGTGAAATTTGCTGGGATTTAAGATCATGAGAACCTTAGTGGATAACTGGATATGTCTTGTATTATCTTCTGTGTCTATTATAGAGTGGTGAAATTGGATGTCTCAAAATAGTTGTCAATGTTGCAACTGGAAATCTTGAAAGGGGTTTTATAAAAGGCAGTTACATTCTCTTTGTAGAAGGCATTGGAAAATTGCTTCTCTTAGTGGTGAGGGTGGAATGCAGTCTTTCAATACACCATTGTAAAAAAAAAAAAAAAAGAGAGAGAGAGAAAATAAAAATAGAAAGAGATTATGAGCATTAGCTGATTCTGTTCATCTAATACATAACTCCATTGCTGTAATTTGACAGTGGTACCGCAAGACTTCTGATTGTTTCAAATTTTGTAATGTCAAATAGCTAGATTTTGGGTCATCTAGTATTGACATACTGTAGTAGAGCCTATATACTCCTGATTAATGTTAGGAAGCTTTTGTCCTGCTATATCTGCAATGTGTAGATCATTCAGTAATAGGGAACTTTTACTTCTCTTGATAGATGGAATCTACATTATTTGAAAGTTCTTATATATTTATAAAAATACATTTTAAAGCTGGTTGTACCGCACCCAGTTGCAAAAAGGTGGTGTATTAGGAAAGAAGTTTGCGGATGTAGAGTAGGCTGCTTGTTCTTTTGCATAACATTATAACAGTATATGAGTTACATGTTTGCCTGGGTCATGTAATTGATTTATACATTCTGGATCCTCTATAGTGGAGCTGATTTAGTTTTTATTTTTTATTATGTGTGTTTCTTTTCCTTTTTCTTATTTATTTATGTTTTAAAAAAATTGTAGATAGTGTTAAATGATGTATGTAAAATGATAATGAGTTTTCCTCATGGAGAACCTTTATTCATAAGAAGATGTACTCTTTTAACAGTATTGCCATCTTTAAAGGGTGCATGAGAATAGCATACACAAACTTGTAAGGTTGACAATTTATGAAGATCTAATGCTTGGTATATTGGTCATTGTGGGTTTATTTTCCTTTGTAATGAAGTAGATACTTTTAGTTTCTATGTGACACTTTGATTACATTGTCTATTTATGTGCTCGCCTAACCCCTTGGGTTTTGCTTGAATTGGATAGGTAAGGCATATGTTTGAAGAGATTGACTATATCCTAGAGGCCCAAAATGCGGATCGTTTTGCATCTCTTTATGCTTCCAATTGTGAGTTCTCTATCTGTTTTTCATGCTTAATACTTCTGTCAATAGAGAGTTTGACCTCTGAGTATATCTAGATCATGTTTTAGTTTCATAAATGTTGATGCCATGAAAGTCACTTGTATTTACCTCATAAATCATGTTTGCTTGATCTCATCTCTTGTTTAAACATTTCTTTGATTTTCAGCTATTGAAAATACCAGCCGAGGAAGTGCAGCTGGTGGTAACACAGCAAATATGAATGTGAATGGCATTAAGGTTCCCAAAATATACTGGAATCTTACTCGTAAAGAAGTTCTTACAATGGAATGGATTGATGGAATAAAACTTACAGATGAAAGTCGCCTGAACAAGGCCAATTTAAATAGGAAAAAACTTATTGACCTGGTGAGTGGCTGATTGTAAATTGCAGCCTTCCCTTTATTTGCCTTGATTTAGTAGTGATATCTTCTTGTTTTTTTTGTTTGTTTGTTTGTTTGTTTCGTAGGGACTATATTGCTCTCTGATGCAGATGCTGGAGGTGGGATTTTTCCATGCTGATCCTCATCCAGGCAACCTTGTTGCTACTGATGATGGAGCTCTTGCTTACTTTGACTTTGGAATGATGGGAGATATTCCACGTCACTACCGTGTTGGACTTACAAGAGTGGTAAGCATCGGGGCACAATTGACTTACTTTATCTTGCGCAGTTTCTTTTGAAATTCATAAACCCCGTTTTTATTGATTCTTAAAATAATAGAGTAGTTTTTACTTTTTGCCGGGAACACATTTAACAGTAAAAGTTGACATTAGCTTTTAATGTGCTTGAGTGGAAGGGCCTATATATCTGTCTTCCCTCATTGATAAGTATCAATCTAGTTTATGCTTTCGTCAGCTTACTAAACTGTTCCTCTCCATCCCTTTCTCTGCCCTGAACCTGTGTGGCTGTGTCCTTGATATTCCTCTACCATACAGCCACTGCGTGTCACCACCCAGAAAATTGAAGCTGGATATCTATCTCTTTCATCTAAGCTTCACTGCATAGACTCAGGCTGTCGATGACATTGCCTCTACAGCTACTAGTTATAGTTTATCTGGAAGTCTGAACCCAGTTACCACACCCTTAAAAGATGAGCACAAAAACACTGCCATCTAATTATCCAATGTGAACCTCATATCTTTGTTTCAATGTGAACCTCATATCCATAGGGTTCTCTACCTATGACAAGCTAACTTTGGGTAATGAGGGTAATCTACAATTTACTATGTTATAATATTTTCTGCACACTGCAAATCAACCTAGACAGTCTGTAGAGTTTAATCTCATAGAGTTGCACAGAAGAATTACTTGTCCGATCTTCTTTTACTGGAGTCGGAAGGAGGATTTTAGGAAAAACATTTAAAACCTATCTGAAGCAAAGCTAAAATCACCTCTACCATTTACAGTCAGAAATATCTAAGGTTGGCTGTTACCTTCTTCTCATTAGCAATACAGGAAAACTTGTGCAGTGATAAACTTGCCTCTTTTAGTCACAGTATTTGCTTAATGCTGATCTATATGTATGCTTTGTTATTAGGGGAAGTGATTATTCATTGACATTTTTATGTACTGCAGCTAGTGCATTTTGTAAATCGTGACTCCATAAGTTTGGCAAATGATTTCCTTTCTCTCGGTTTCATCCCTGAAGGGGTTGACTTACAATCAGTTGCAGATGCACTGCAAACATCATTTGGTGATGGAAGACAATCACAGGATTTCCAGGTTCTACTACCTCACTTCTGGCATTCTTTTAATGCTAGGTACTTTACATCTCATATGTAGTTATTACTTACCTTTCTGCAAAGGATATGTAGTGAAGGTTAAGGCCAAGTCAAGTTGAAAATTGCTTTCTCTCCTTCAGCTTTAGCAAAAGAAATGCATCGGTCCTTCTCTATATCCTGTGATGTCCAGACTAGGATAATGCCACTTTATGTGTGATTCAGAAAAGGGAAAAAAAAATCTCGGTTAATCTGAATTTTGCTTTAGCTCTCTGTTAATTGCTAGAATGTCTTTAACTCTGAGATTTGAAGTGTGGGAGATTTTGCTGAGATATAAACTACCTGCTAATTTAATTGGCTCAACAGAAAAGGTTATATGTCAGTTGTCTCTGTGAATTTTTCATACAAGGACATATCGAATACTAAGAAAACTCCTGGTTTTGTACTTCTCTGCATACATACATATTTGTCATCCCAGGGTTAGATATTTAAAGTTTACTGTATATTCTAAAGTGAAAATGTTATAATGTTTGTGGTTTCCAGATTTTTAATAGTTTCTGTATTCAGGGAATAATGAATCAGTTATATGATGTTATGTATGAGTTCAACTTCTCTCTTCCTCCGGACTATGCATTGGTGATACGAGCTCTAGGCTCACTTGAAGGAACAGCAAAAGCATTGGATCCTGAATTCAAAGTTGTGGAGAGTGCATATCCTTTTGTCATTGGGAGGCTTTTAGCGGACCCAAGTCCTGATATGAGGAGAATATTGAGAGAACTAATCATCCGTAATGATGGATCACTTAGGTGGAATCGGCTGGAAAGACTGGTGTGTAATTTAACTCTCACTTCTCATGTAATTAGGTCATCAAACTGGCATTTTTCACATGTATTAGCTTTGAATCTTTGATAAATGCCTTCTTTGGATGTAACTTGTTTTTATTTACTGATAGACACTTATTTGCTATCATGTTTGTATAATTGTATAGTGTGATTAGTGTCAGTGTCATCCGCTTTCATTGGAGAGTGTCCATTGTTCATTTGTTCATAAACCAAAGATTTTATGCCGTCAATCAGATTCTTTTTGAGAGACCACTATTGACAATGGTCAATTTGTTCCTAAACCAAATATTCTATGCCCTTAATCTGGATTCCTGTTTTCTTTGGGTTTGTGCGTAGGGGGTTGAAAAAGGAAAGTAATATATCTTAAAGTCAAACTCCAAAAGCAAAGTAGGGTAAAAATTGATAATGACTTGGAAAACTATTCATAGAGTTTAGAGTTTAAAGACAATGCTAGATATAAGTTTTATACGAAGCTTGACTGACCTGTGAAACAATTAAGATTCCTTTGAGTGCTAGTTTCCACCTCTATAAGTTAACACTAGAAACTACACTTTTACATGTAGATTGCAGCAATATCTCAACAGGGAGCTGCAAAAGATGGAGAAACTCAGCAGAATTACTCAAATCCATTGGAACAGTCTTTTGACATGCCTGCTGTAGTTGCTGCTACTGAGGATCTTTTCACATTTATTTTGTCAGAAAAAGGTTCCAGAGTGCGTGTGTTCCTTGTCAGGGACATAATTGCAGCAGCTGATGTGTTTCTTCAAGATGAAGTTCTCAATGATCTTTTCAGTGAGAAGCCTCAGCCAAGGAATAGATTGAAGTCTGAGGTATGTCCTTACTACTGTTTGAGGAGTAAAAATGGTAGGTTAAGTTTTGGTCTGTCTTTATTGTAGATTTAGTAACTCAAAAACTTGCTACTTGGATAGGATGCTCATTATGAATTCCTATTGAAATCATCTTCGTGGTGTTATTTTACTAACATAATTCCTATTTGTTAGTTAGAACTTAAATGGACTAAAAAATCCCCCCTTTTTAAAAATAATATTTCATTTTGCACCTTCTCTTTCTTTTCTATACTCAGTTGACTGCTTAAATGTTTGTCATTTGTGGGAACATTTTCACCTTGCTGATTGCTGATTGCTGATTGCTGTTTTTAGAGAATTCTCCTCATTCATATTGTTGAAATATAGAAAGCAAATGCTCTAGACTATTAGGGAATCCTATGTTGCCCGCACGGGTAGTTGAGTTGATTCCTGGGTGGCAGATTGTGGGCAAGGACGCAGGATCGAGTCCTGGCAACCGCAGTGTGGGAGTTTCACCCTCTTGTCGGGGTGGCTCCTTCTGGGCACCATGCATTGGTCCTCCCACGGTCCCACCCAATGGGCGGATGAGTCACCGTGATTTACCCTTCCACAATCCTGTCAGGCCGGGATGGGCGGCTGATCACCGTAATTTACCCCTCCACAATCCTGTCGGGCCAGGATGGGCAGATGAGTCACTGTAATTTACCCCTCCACAATCATGTTGGGGCGGGACGTGGGGCCCTCGGGGCAAGGGATTCTATGAGGCATTCAAAGAACACTAAGAGATTTAGGAATACAATTGAGTGGGATAGCTTGTTCACGCTTAGTAGCGTAAAGGTCATTGCCATGTGTGTATATATACCCCTTGTTCTAAGCAGATTTGAACAGCACAATATTAGTATTTGTAGTATTATTAATTATTAACATTTCTTTCTTTTGGTTTTCATATTACTTAGCTTCTGCCTAACTGGTGATTCACCACCCACTACCCTCATCCCTATATGTGTATATGACCCACCTGCCTTCACTTTGACAGGGACATGCAATGCTACTGAGGGTGGTGAAAGGATTTCAATCTATGGGATACGCAGTGAAATTGGCTCCAGATATTTGGATGGCCTTGCTAGTTCGCTTGGCTGTAAAATCAGAGTTCCAAGTATTCACCATGGATATCGTATCAGCATTGACGGATCACTCCAGCAAAAAAATACCAGATGCTTTTTGGATTCTTATTTCGAGACTTATTCACAAGTGCACTGCAAAACACTGATCTGTTAATATTCTCTCATTTCATTATTCTCCCAAATCCTCCATAGTTTATATTAGTCAAGCGTAGAATTATAGAAAGTTTAATTTGTTTAAACGCTTTCGTCAATGTGAAATCATAAAGAACAGATCCAATTTGATTGGAATTTTGATAGGCAACACAATGCAGGAGGCAGGTAGCTCCAGAAGTTCTCTCAGCTTTTGCACTTTGAAAATTGAAATTGAAGGCTACTTGGAAATGTGTACAGGTAAGACAGGTTGGAGACCCGAGCTCATTAAAAACGACTGCTTTTATTGCATATATTGTTAACTGCCAACGCTATAGGGTTGAAGTTCTGCATCAATTAATATAGTTTTGTCAAATATTTGGTGCTTTAAGCTGAGCTAATGCTTAATCCTCCATTAATGTTGTGTCATTATCTCCTTTGAAAAGGAATACAGGATGACTAGTAGTATCCTAAAGACATCATTGCAGCCATGTTGGACTTGTGCACCATCAATTATGGCAGTAACATCTTTATTATGGGTTAACAGCTTAAGTAGGTATTTGGTAATTAGCTTTTTCCTTGGGTGTTTTATTTTATTATTTTTATTTTTTCAAAATGCTCCATTGTGGTGAAATTGAATGCCAACATACCCAAAAAGGCCAAAAACAAACAGACAAATTTAACTGATTTTTGGGTAGGTTCCCCCCACCCCACTTTCTGCAGGGCACCCCGTCGCCACTAAACTACAAAGTTTTATTCTATTTAAATTTTGTTATTTGATTATTATAAAACATATTTATCATTTTATTGTTGTTTCTTTATACGTTTTTTTTTTTAATTAAATGCTAATAATAAATAGTTTATTTTACCAAATATTTCTTTATAAATAGTTAATATAATCCGCTTGTTGAATTCGTTAACACAAATAAGGCCAATATGTTTGTATCTCATTGAAAAGGAATACACGATGAGTTGTATTTTAAAGAATCTTTTCTCGATCATGGAAAAGTTACATTGTTGGTTTCGAAATGGTTGGCAGAGGGAGGGGAGAAAAGGTAGAGGAAAGGAGGACTAAAAACATTCTTCTTAAACTTCACCCTATATAATTTGTGACCAATTGAGCTGTTTATGCAACGGAGGCCGTCAACTACATTTAATAAAATGGAGAATCATGACTCAAAATGGGTATGAACTTTCCTTCCCCATTTAAATATGAAATGCTGATTTTCAGGTTCCAATGTTCAATCAATTCAACAAAGTATTGATTGGGTGCAAAAGTGTGGTGCATGCTTGCCAAGTGTGTTGAAACCACAATTTCAGTTGTGAGTTTACCCAAAACGTTGACCACTTCAAACCCAATACCTTTCATTGCATTGATCATCACGTTACATGATGCAGCATGCATTGCGTTGAATGGGTCCCTACACCCTATCCTTATCCTCCCATCATTTTATTTTTATTGAGTTTTGATTAATTTAAAATTTTACTAGAAAAATGTAATAATTATACTATACAATATAATATAATACTAACTAATAACAAAATGTTTGTTACTTATAAGTGAAAATGTAATACTTTTGAGGAATATTAGTACTTCTAAATCAAAATGTAAAACTATTATACTTTCCTTTATAAGTAACAAACACTTTATTCTTGATTAATATTACACTTTTTTTCCAGTATCAGTAGTATATTTTCATATTGACTCGTCCCGTCTCACAAACAAGAATCCATGGGACAGTCTTACACAACTTTTTACCTTTAACAAATGTATTTGACTATGGAGATACACATACGAGATAATTAAATGCGTTTGGCAAATTAAAAGAGTTGTATTCATTTTTGCCTAAATTTTAAAACCTTCTGTTTTCGTCCGACCATGTTGACCTCATGATCATTCCGTTATAGTCAATCTTTCCAATAATTTTCACTACTGCTAGTAGATGTAGTAGTAGTGAAACGTAACTCCCCTTCCCTTACCTACTATACAGGGCATATATATATATATATATATATATATATATATATATATATATATATATATATATGCATTTGACCAATAGCATAGGCAAGGCAGGACAGCCGCGAATGCTCTCCTTGTACTAAAAAACACCTTAAATGCTCTCCTTGTCAAAGAGAGAACACCATTTAAAAGAAAGTGGTTGGAAGGGACATGTGATCATCATTATTATCGCATCAAAGTTAAGCTTATCAACTTATTTTGAGATGATTGATCAGTTAAACTGTACTCCAGATACAACTAACATTCTCTTTTCTTTCTGGTTTTACCTTCAGGGGGTGTTTGGTTGGCATGAATTGCGTTGGAGTTGAATTGCAATTCAATGAAATGATAAACTACATTGTTTGGTTGAAGGGAATTGCAATTCATAGGTCCCCCCTATGAATTGCAATTCAATGAATTCATGCAAAGGGAAAGGGAAGGAAAAGACATATTTGTCCTTGAATGTTATTATTAATATTATTACGCAAAGGGTATTTTAGTCTTTATATCACTTCTCCCATTTTCATTATTCTTCCCTACCAAACAATGTAATTGTAATTTCTACTTTATTCCCACCTTATTCTTTTCCCACCGAATTATAATTCATTTCCCCCTTAATTCCTTCCTTCCAACCAAACGCCCCGTCAATGTTGTGGCTGGATCAGATCGGAACCTCTACTATGCCGCTAGAAGCAAATCTTAAGTGAAACTTTTCATCAACTTGATCAGTGTTTTGGAACAATATATTTTTTTTTTTGGGGTACATGAATTGGAAGTAAGGTCTGAAGATGATATGATGTTCTACCACTACATTATTGTGACAATATAATATTAGTACCAAGCGAATAACTTATTTTGTTCATGCTACATTCTCATAACTTATTTAACTAGTTTTTTCATTTGATTATTAAATGAATTTCTTTCTAACTTGGGTTACTTGGCCAAATGACAACCACTAGAAAATAGTATATTTTTTCTAACATTTTGTATTTTAACAATTCCATAAGGAGATAGAATTAACTATTCTCGATATATTACAAACATATAAATTAACAAATTATCATTTCAAACGATAAAGAAAAAGTTATTATTAATTTGTTTTCTCCCCAAATTAATATTTTATGCCCCGTTTTCCCTTACTAATTGAAATAATAATTTGTGAAATTATTATATATCGAGACATATACTAACCTAGTATCTAGAGTTAATTACCTTATCATATCTCTTCAATAACATATCATAAGAGCCACCAAAATCTTTATCTCCTATGAAGTATATAATTTATCCGATTTTATATTTAATTATATAATTAATTAATAATTAAATAATAATGATTAATAATAATGATGATAGATTACTTGTTGAGATATGGATGCCAGTTGCCACCCAACAATGAACAAACACAAAGAGACACCCTTCTCCTCCAGTCCTTTTTTTTTTAGTTGATTATTTATTTATTTATTATTTATTTATTTATTTTCATTTTTCCCTCTTTTTACCTCTCTCTCTCTCTCTACCTGTCTTCAATATAATCCCTCCCGTCGTTTTCTTCATGATTTCTCTTCTTCAAACTATTTCTCTCTCCTCCAGGTACTTTCTCTCTCTCTCCTCATTCTACCATTTTTACACGATTCAATCGTGATCTCGAGTGTTGATTTTCCGTCGCGATTGTTCTCCAATTCTGTTTAGATAGATCTAAGTGTTTCGTTTTTGTGATTGCTTTTGGTGGTTTTGTTTTGATTTTTACGGCTTGACTCGTGATTGTTCTGCTCTGTTTTTTTTTTTTTTTTTTTGAAGACAGGGTTGATTTGTAGTGATTGGAGATGAATCTAACGGTGACAGTTGTAAAGGAGCAGAAGAACGATTAAGATTTGTTGTTTTATTTTTTATTATTTTTTTATTTTTAAGAAAGGATAACGTGATTAGAAGGAGGTCCAGATCAAAGTGTTGGTATCATGGGTTATCTGAATTCAGTCCTGACATCGTCTTCCAAACCAAACCTTGCCGACGATGCGCCGGTCAGCGGTGGCGGTCTCAGGTGATCTGCCGTTGCTCTCATATCCTTGTCCGTATTTTGTGTTATTTTTGTGTTCTTTCTGGAATATGGGAAATGATTTCATGAATTAGTATATGTTTCTTGTGAAATATGCCTCATTTTGTCCTCTTGCTGTAGGTCTTAATGTATGTTTGACATATTCAACTCTAGGCAGTTGGGCATGAAGCTGCCCTGTATGTTGTTGTGGCTGAAATCGTACACTTCTATCATATTGGTTGTCTTTAAATTTGATATGGAATGTTAAGAGTGAAGATAATGTTAAAATCATGTATGTTTTTAAATAAATGGGAGAAGGGGAGAAGCTAGGCTTGAGTAGCAAAAAAACATCCTGGTCAATTGTATTCTAGAGAATACTTGTCAAAGAGAAGAGGACTGCAATTTTGGAGATGCTTTGGAAGCATGATGATGAAGTAAATCTTTTTGTTGATTGTTCTCTTAGAACTGTTTCAATTAGGAAACATGCATAAAGAAAGAAATCCATTTGCAATTGAATGTCCAACATCATGTGTTAGAAACAAATTTCTGACACCGGATGAAGGTATATTTGTGTCTGCCATATTAGTGCTTGCCACGTTACATATTTGTTAAAAACAAGTGATGATCCTACCTGCAGTGATGAATATTTGTCGCGTTGCATTGAAAATTATTGTAATGAGGAAAAGGAATAGTATGACTTCATGTGCAAAATGCATCATTTATAATTGCGGAAGCCAAGAATGTCTCATTTTTGCTTGTGAAAGCCATAAACATGTCACTTTTGCTTGCGAAAGCCATAAACGTGTCACTTTTGCTTGCGAAAGCCATAAATATGCCACTTTTGCTTGCGAAAGCCATAAACGTGCCACGTTCGCTTGCGAAAGCCATAAACGTGCCACGTTCGCTTGCGAAAGCCATAAACGTGCCACGTTCGCTTGCGAAAGCCATAAACGTGCCACGTTCGCTTGCGAAAGCCATAAATGTGCCACTTTTGCTTGCGAAAGCCATAAATGTGCCACTTTTGCTTGCGAAAGCCATAAATGTGCCACTTTTGATTGCGAAGGCCATAAACGTGCCACTTTTGCTTGCAAAAGTCATAAACGTGTTACTTTTGCTTGCCGACAGCCATAAACGTATCACTTTTGCTTGCGAAATGCATAAACGTGTCACTTTTGATTGCGAAAGCAAAAAACGTGTCACTTTTGATTGCAAAAGCAAAAAATGTGTCACTTTTGTTTGGGAAAGCCGAAAACGTGTCACTTTTGCTTGCAAGTGTTGAAAATGTGTAATTTTTGCTTGTAAGTGCCAAAAACATGTCATTTTTTGCTTGGAGTGTGGAAAACATGTCATTTTTCTTGCGATGGCCAAAAAAGTGTCTTTTTTTCCCTTCCCTTGCGAACACCAAAAAATGTGTCATTTTTTTTTCTCAAGAATGCCAAAAGGCTTTCATTTTTGCTTGTGGGGAAGCCAAATGATTTTGTATACGTAACACATGGTAAGTGAAAAGACAATTTTGTCATGTTAGCCCTGCATGAACTTCAATGCAGGGCTATAAATTGGAAAAATTTCCTAATCTCCCTTTTGTCGCTTTCTTGTATGCTTGATCCAAATTGTCAAGCACTTTGCATGTAAAAGTGTAAATACTTATTGGAATATTGAAAACACTGCAGCAAAACTATTTTGGTTTGAAATCATTAAGGAAATTTTTATTCTTTCACTTTCACAACATCCTCTCTTTAGGCAAAACTATAATCCTGTTCAGTCAACCATGCTGCTTTGTTTGTGTCTTGAGAATATTTTAGTATTATATGCTGTCTGATCTCCATACTTGTGAATTTGTGATATCTTCCATGAAATCATGAACATCGTCAATTCTAAAATTCAACTGTGGATTAGGATTTTTTTTAATAAGATAAACTGTACTAATATGCACTTTACCTGACAACTAAGAACAGTCAGAATGGAAAATTTAGCTATGGATATGCAAGCTGCCCAGGAAAAAGGTCATCAATGGAGGATTTCTTCGAGACAAGGATTGATGGTGTAGATGGAGAGGTTGTTGGTCTCTTTGGAGTTTTTGATGGTATTTTTCTTTATTGACCTCTTCTCGCTCTTCTTTTAATGTAAAATTATCCCTAAAAGTGCTGGAATAAAAATGGATTTCAGTATTCTGTATGATTCTCTATAATGTGTAAAAACTTTTGAACTTTTAACATTTTTATTATTATCATGGAAATTGTTTGGGTTTTCTGTCTTGCGTTTTTGGGTTGGGGGATAGAGTGCCATTAGTTCCTTAAACTGTGACACATTTTGCAGTCAGGAGTCTGATGATTAGCAGATTAGGTAATGGCATAGAGATACAATGCTGGTAAACGAACTATAGGATCAACAGTAACAACTAACAAGAAATATGATATTGAGTAGTTGCTGAATGCTTGAGGAACTGTATACTATGCTACAAGAGAAGAGTATGTACTTTTGTTGTCAACTAATTGGAAATAGTGGCGAGAGTATATAAAAATGTACATGTTCTGTTAGTATTATTTACACATTTTTATGTTTGTTGCAGTTATTTTTTTGTTCATGTGCCTACTAGTAACAATTGTGATGCACATGTCCTCTTGATGACATTGTATAACTAAGTTCCAATTTCACCCCACTCCAAGCAAAAAGTGATTTGTTATATTCAACCTTAAATAATTATATGCTTTTAACTTAGTGTTCTGTTTGCATTTCCTCTTAATTAGGTCATGGAGGTGCTCGAGCTGCAGAGTATGTTAAGCAAAACCTTTTCAGCAATTTGATCAGGCATCCAACTTTTATTTCTGACACCAAATCAGCAATAGGTATGCTGCTCATAAAATACCAATATATCGGCTTCCTTGATGTCATTACACATTACTCATGTACATCCTTTTTCATTCTTTTTTTGCTTCTGCAGCTGATGCATATAGCCATACAGACTCTGAATTTCTGAAATCAGAAAATACTCAGAATAAAGATGCTGGATCAACAGCGTCTACTGCTATTCTTGTTGGTGATCGTTTACTGGTTGCAAATGTTGGGGATTCAAGAGTTGTTGTTTGCCGTGGTGGGACTGGTGAGACTTGAAAACTCCTTCACCTCTCACCCAATCGTTTTGGTGAAATGTTGAGTTTAACTCTTGCCTTGTGCTCTAACAAGCTCTATACTGTGTACTTCAATACTTATTTTTTAACCATAATAAGGACTTGTGATTTACATTAGCTTGAACCTAGAAGGCTAGAAGTGCACATTAGTCTTCATTTTTATACATATTTCTTTGTGCATTAAATGCGTATTGAGCTTCCCCTCAGCTGTAAAAATATTGTAAAATTCCATTATTGTTGGATTGAGGTAGAAATTATTTTAGTATAATGCTTCAATGGGGAAGAGCCCTCATCAAACATGCTTTTATTGCTTGCAGCTATTGCTGTTTCTCGGGATCACAAGCCAGACCAGAAGGATGAGCGACAACGTATTGAAGATGCTGGAGGTTTTGTCATGTGGGCAGGTTTGTCCGTCTCATGAACTATCCTTCTATGTGATGGTTCGCTTATCAAGATATTCTATTCTTGAGGTTGAAAATTATGGTTTTGTTTTCTTAAAATGCTGTGGACAGGTACCTGGAGAGTTGGAGGTGTGCTTGCTGTTTCCCGAGCATTTGGTGATAGGCTTTTGAAGCAGTATGTTGTCGCAGATCCAGAAATCAAGGTATCATTGTGAACCTTTTTGTAATTCATATCTAATGTGGAGTGTTAATTCATGAAATTTTATACTCGTATAATAATATTTATGGAAAGTATTTATACACAAGTTCTTAGTTTCTTGGTAGTCCTGAGTTACCACCATTCTTACTGTATTTTTATAAGAGAGCTTGTATCAAAATTGCAGGAGGAAAAGGTTGACAGTTCACTTGAGTTCCTTATCCTTGCAAGTGACGGGCTGTGGGATGTAGTGACAAATGAGGTTTGCAATTCTTTTTTAGTAGTAGTTAATCTGAACAATATATTTATATAGTTCATTCTACGCACGAATGTTCATGAAACAAGTCTTTTTAATGTTTTCATTTCTTTTCTCTCTCTTACATACCTACCCCATGTTGGATGATCTGATTGGTATTCAAAAATTGTCAGGAAGCTGTGTCGATGGTCAAGCCCATCCCGGAACCTGAGGAAGCAGCAAAGAGACTAATGCAAGAAGCTTATCAAAGAGGCAGCGCAGACAACATCACCATTATCATAGTGCGTTTTCTGGCTAACGAAGGGGATGCCTCTCACAGTGGCTCTGGTTGAGGAGTGCTATCTTTCCGCAAGGACTAATTGCCGATAATATGAATAGGATTGTAAGTAAATATAGAAGAAGTAAAAAAAAACAGACTTCTGGGTGTTATTTAATAGAGAGACGACCTTAGACAGGGAACATGTCTGACTTGCAGCCAGCTTATCAAGAAGTTAAACGAGTGAGTGAACCTACCTATATATATATATGAGTAGCGTCCGTGATTTATTATTTGTTCTAAATTTAACTGTCATTTCATTTGAATATGAATAGAATGGGAAACTTGACCAATGTCTGGAAACTGTGTACTTAGTGTGCAAGAGGAATTGCTCCTTTTGCATGTGTTATTAGTGTAAAACAAGCCTTGCTGGTGGAGTCACTGTTTGTTATTTGTATTATTTGTTAGGATTTTTGGGAATGGGATTGGGATAGGAAGGTTGGTATGTGTTAAGGTTGTCTCATGTCTGGTGTTCCCAATCTAATTCTAATGTATAGGGAGGGGGATAATAGAAGCATGGCGTCCCACCACATGGATGAGGATTTGGGGTATTTTGTGTCGGGGATTTAACACCAAGGAGACAAGATTTGCATTAGTGTTTTGTGTGCTTTTCAGCATAATTGGTCGGTTACTCCTTTATACATACATAGGTCATAGGGACAAGGGATAGGAAACAAAATAGGAGTATGTGAAAGTGGACAATTTATATAATGATTAGGGTCCATATAACATTATGGACTCTGAATTGAAACAATGGAGATATAGTATTTACAAAAAATTACAACACAAGACACATAACATAGTATTATGGACCCAGTTGGATTGAAAAGATGAGGTACATAATTTGTGTTTATAGACATAGAATTTTACAACACAAGACATAGAAAGATGCAATTACTAATTTGTTCCAGGTACATAATTCACTCTTAAGGTACAAAATTTTATCAAGACACAAAAAGTCACAACATAAAATACATACACATAAATCAGGATTCATAATGCAGTGTGAAGTATGATATATATGATATAAGGATTGGTGAAAGTGTTGTGCATTTGATAATCTAGGCTGGCCTATTTTTGAAAAATGGGTTGTAGCACCAACCCAACCCAATCTGGATGGGAATTGGAATTTGTCCCAAAATTATTTCGAGTTTAGCTAATCCCCCTATAGTTTTGTTGGAGAAGTTCTCTTTACTCTAATCCTTTTATTTTGTAGCACTTTAACCATTGCCTTAAAATTTAATCATTACTTGCATTTCTCAACCTTCTCTTCTCACATAGGTTAAGACCCGATGCCAACAATAGTTATGCTGTACAACCGAATGTACCATGCGCATGGTGCATACGATGCAAAACGACGTCGTTTTGACTAAAAACGCGGATCCTATTTAAAAAAAAAAATCAGGTTCAATTCTCGGCAATAGCATTATTGTGGATATATAGTTATGAATTTATGGATATATAGTTATGAATTTATGGATATTTAGTTCATTCATTGTGGATATTTAGTTCATTCATTGTAGATATTTACTTCATTCATTCACTGTGGATATATAGTTATGAATTTCTGGATATATAGTTATGAATTTATGGATATTTAGTTCATTCATTGTGGATATTTAGTTCATTCATTCACTGTGGATATATAGTTATGAATTTGTGGATATATAGTTAAGAATTTATGGATATATAAAAATGCTATTGCCGGAAATCGAACTTGATTTCTTTTTTTAAGTAGGACGCGCGTTTTTTTAACCAAAACGATGTCGTTTTGCATCGTAAGCACCATGTGCATGGTGCATTCGGTTGCACAGCATAATTTGCGCCATGCCCCATTATTTAGTTAAAAAGAAAATATTTGTGAACCCCAACTATAACATAACATGAAGTCTACCACTGCCCAAACTGCTCCTCACCATGTTCCTTGCCCCAATGCCCCATCCACATTCAAATTTAAACAACTCTCCACAAATGCCATGTAGTGAATCATTTTTTTTTTTTTTTTTTTGTAATGTAGCAATTTCATTAACTCAAATCATGATACAGATCGTTGGCAATAAAAGGAGGATCAATCGTCCATTCCTTACATACTGTCATAGAACATGCTTCCCTAGCTAACAGATGAGCAACCATGTTCACAGTACGTTTAACATAAAAGATAGTTACATGTGACAAAGAACCTAGCATATTTTTAATATCTAAAATTAAGAGGTTAAAAGAAGAAACACCATCATTCTCACTAAGTTGTTGGACATGCAACCTGCAACGCATCAGTTTCAATATGAACTTTTGTGATGCATTTTTCCTTCAACCAGATCAATGCTTCCCTATTAATATATTTGTTATGTTCCTTAATGGGTGAGAAAGTTCTCTAATACATTTTTAATAAACTCTTTAATCTTTTTGTTGGGTGGGGGATTCCCCTTTCCCTAATCCTTTTGTTTGGTATAACATTAACCATTGTCTTAAAATTCAATTCTATACACACATTTCTTCAACACCCCATACCCCATTATTTAGTTAATAAATTACTCCGTATATGTGAACCCACCAGCCAATGACCTAATCATTATATTGTGCATCATAGTCTGTATTGCAATGACGACTATAGATATATAAATTTATTTTAGTATACTGAATGATTATTTTTAATGTATTATAGTTCATTTTTAGTATATATTACCTATAATATATAACTTAAAAATAACATTTATTAGTTGTGTACTTTAAATATTGACCATAATCCAATGAATAATTTGTCCTAATTACCCTGTGAATCACACATCACTCCTCCAACACAAGCCAAACTGCTCATAACCTCCCTTGCCCCATCCATTTTCAACTTTTGAGAGTTCTCTACAAATATCATTTAAAGCACCAACTTAACACAAACTCTCTCCTCGTGCCTCCTAAAAAAAAAAAAATATCGCCCGGTCCGTAACTAAACTTCTCATCCATCCTCCCGCAACCGTTGTCAAATTGATCGGACTATTGACTTGATAACTATAAAGTTTCAAGTTCGACTTCCCATGGAAGTAACTTAATGATCTTTTTGGTTTGACCCGGTCAATTCGGAATAATCTAAGCTGATATACCTCCTTGTGGTCCTTTGCAGCTAGAGGTCACAAGGCGAGTTTACCTAGTGCACACCATGCGTGTTCCCCTCATCATCCAAAAAAAAAAAAAAAAAAAAACATGTTTAGGTTGTTTATAGTACAATGAAAGAGCCCTGAAATGAATGACCAAGTGAGTGGAGCATTATTCTCGTACCTAAAGTTACAAGTTTGATTATTACTAATACGTACTCCTTTGTCCAGCTTGTCACACAAAGCTATATCTTTACTTAATTTGTGGGTTATTAATTATACAAAAATGAAATTTACCCATACATACTTTCGGATAATGACTACAGATTTTTAAGCTGGTTATACCCAAAAAAAAAAAAAAAAAAAAGAGGGAGATATATTATTGACAATGTAGTAAAGCATGATTTCATACTGCAAACATATGAACCTAACGTCCCCTTGATCATAAGGTGTAAACAGCTGTTTGTTCATCAGATCAATTCCTATTATTTTATTCGTAGTACAAATGTTACTTTACTAGATCACATATTATATATATTAACATTATAAAGTTGTCAGTTGTCTTATGTTTTATTTTATTAATGGCCAGCGAAGCATCGCACCTTTCATCATCATACCTGCATATTACCCTACCCGTTACGAATATAACGATAACTTTGGCAAATAATAATAATACTTTTTATTTTTACTTTTAATTTTAACCACTCAAGATGTTCTTTTACTTTAATCTCCAGGTTTAAACTTGACTACAGTCATTATTGCGTGGACTGTTCTCAGTTTCTATTCTATTTTTTATTCTATACTTACGTAGCGTCTTATGATTTATCCAAAAAAAAAAAAAATGACCCTTAGTTTTTATTACTCATTTTTTTTTCTCAATAAAATTATGACATTTAATTAGAGTTTTACTCCTTAAAAGTTCATATATTATTTCCTTGTCTACAAAAGGTAAAATTTTCTTACCTCAGACTTCCACAATGGCTTGACAAGATAGTGGGTGACTCAATAATCTGGTGTCCGGTGCTCACAAGAAGCCTACCATATTGCATGAAACTCTAACAGTGCAACTGTCAAGGCTCAATTATGTGTCTTTGCTCACAATCTACCACACATGAACTAACTAAGCTACCCATCCAAGCATTACTATTTATATAATAATTTGTATAATCCAAGAATATATCATTTCATGTGTCAGTGAAGTTACGGTTTGCTCTTAATTTGATAGAGCAACCTCAATAGGAGTAGTTTGTTTTGTTTTGTTTTTGTTTTTTTTTTTTCTGTGTGGTTATTGAGGTGCCAATTAGGAGAGGGATGAGGGAGAGAGAAGGAAAAAGATGGGAAAAAATTGGTCTGACACAAAAAATAAAAAAGAAACAAAAAAACAAACAAACAAGCAGAGGACGCACCCGCTGGGCGCCGTATGTGCGCGAAACGCATAGTAGTACATTGTCTTCTCCACTTTCTTTGTGTCGCGGGAACCACAAAAAAATCAGCTGCTTGCCGGATGCTCTAAATTTTTCCTCTCTATCTTGATCTCCTCAAAAATTTATCCAAAATGCATTAATGAGGATGCTTTTAGTGACCTAAAGAGAATTAAGAGAGTGTAATATCATGAAGCATAAAATAATCATTATTACATGCCGTACCGTACAAATCTTTGGTATAAGTATTAATGTATGATATTAAATTAGGAGAGTAGAGTAGCATTACATTTTGACCGACACGTCGTGGATAATGAATTTTGAAGGAGTCCCATTCTTGTCCTCAGGACACACAAGTCTGCATTTCACAGGAACCCATGCCTACTTTAATTTTATAATGGACCCCCACCCCCCTTGTCTTTTGTTTGAACTTTTTTTGTAATTAATGTCTCAACAACTTTCACTGTACTTTGATTTCTAGCATAGACTAGATATGAGAATCCAAACATTAAATCTCAAATAATAATCTTATTTTCTTTTTCTAAATTTACATCTTAGAGCAAACAGCAACTGTTGATCTTTTATTTTGAGTTTTTGTTAGCTTCCCAAAGAGAGAAAGGAAGAAAAATATGGAAAAGGCAAGTTGGTGACAATCTGAATGCACGCGCATGTCTAGTATCCGCTATCCTTAGGAGGCACCCTTAGTCCTTAGAGGTGTTTGGTTTAAAGAATTTCATATTACTCTCGATCATGTTAGATTACATTTGATGGGAAATATGCCCCGGA